CAGCATCACCTGCATTTGCTGTCCTTCTGATAGCTCCCTCTGAAGAACATAACAAGAGCCTGCTGGATCAGGCCAAGGCCTCCTTAGTGCAGGATTCTGTGGCCCACCAGAGGTTCCAGTGAGAGGCCTGCAAGCCACACTTGGGCACAATAAAACCCTCTCACTTGGGCTGCCCGGCCACTGATATAAAGAGAAGTACTGCCTCTGAACTGGTGCAAAGAAACCAGTGGTGCTGGTGGGGACATCACCGCCAGAGACCCTGCATGGGAGTTGCTAGATCACCCAATGGTCAGACTCGGTATGCAGCATTTCCACATATTCTTTGAAGGCATGGGATTCTGCTGAATTTCTATAGCAGGAGTAAATATATGACCAGATCCAGAATTGCGTGAAAACAGTGGGAGGGGAGCTCCATGAAGCCCTGCTCTTGTTGCCTGCAGAGTTTTGCACTAGTAGGAAGATACGTTCCTGCTAATGAAAGGTTGGGAAATGCCCCCCACACTTCCTGTCCCCATATCTTCCTTTTTTGCAGCCTCCCTCAATCTGGTAGGCCTCCAAATAGTCTAGTCTTCAACTCCCATCTTCCACAATCACTGGCCATGGTGGCTGGGAGTGGTAGCACAAAATTTTGGGAGGGCACCAGTTTGGAGAAGCCAAACGCAGATGGAAGGAGGAAGGAAGCTGTTCTTTGCTTGAGTCTAAAATGCCCGTTTGGGAGTTCTGCCAGGATGGAGTGAGACCATGGGACCAAGGGACACTTACGTGTCTCTGGTCATGTCCACTCTTGCTCAAGCACACACAGTTCCGCGCCTCAGCCATTTCAGAGTAATTTATTGATCGAAATGGGGTAGACCCAAAGCTCGCCCGAGCAGGCTCGGAAATGCTGCTTCTTGCTCCAGCAGGCTTCCACTGCCAAATGACCGGCCTTGGCAATCCTGGCTTTTCTTTCTCATATAAGCCCTGGCACCACTGCCACACGTTTGATCTGTCATCATCACACACACTAATGCGAGACTGTGTACCCTGCAAAGTGCCCAGCACCATCTGGTTGCATTAAATAAGGAGAAAGTAATGAGCCGCATGGTCTCTCCTTTCCCAAATCAGAGAACTCGTGCAGCATGCTTACACCTCTTCTAAAATGAAAAGGGTAAAGAAAGAAAGGTGAAGGTGGCGATGGCAGTGGGAGGAGGGCAAGGAATATGCGACGAGGCTGATTATTTCTGACCACTGACACTGCAGCGATGAGTTGGCCCATTTTCTATCGAGCAAGCCTGAATGGAGCATCATTGCTGAATGATTCCAGTGAAATTGAATTGGCCTCTCCTCAGGTCTTAGCCACATACCCGTCCATCAAAAAATACTTGCTAAAATGCAAGATTAATGACTGCTGGAGATTTAATTTGCTAATACCTGAATGGGCTGTTAATGGAGTTTGGGAGAGTTATGAAGCAGGCTGGGTGGGGAAATTTGATGGAAACAGACACGATTATTGCTTTTAAAATCAAACTAGAATGCAGGCCCAGTCATTCATTAACCAAAGCCAGAGGGACCTGGGCCTCTTTGATTTCTTTGCAAACAAATCAGAAAGCACCAAGTTCTTGTATGACTATTATTGGCAAGACAACACAGGGATTTTGCATCATGTTTGGCTTATTTGTCACGATCCCTGCAGTCAGAAACACCGTTGAGGACTGCTTGTTCTTTCTTAGAAGCTCAGAACAATCATTCTTCCTCCCCTGATGGTTTGATCCCTGTTCGTTCAGCCAACAGTCATTCTTCAGCTTCTCTATGCTTTTTCTTTTTCTCCTAATGAGCCAGCTCCCATTTACCTCCATGATTCCTTTCTTCCATTTGAGCTGTTTATTTTACCGTCTGCTTCTGTGTCTCAGCGGCAATGCCAATAGTGTTACAGGCCTGACAAGGGATTCAAATATTTATTTCATTCAAATGTATAGCCGTCCTCATCCCTGCATCCCAAACAGGCAGAAGCATTCATAAAGCAAGACATCTTTCTCATCTGAGATAAAAGCAGCACATTCATGAGTAGCTAATGCATGTTTGTGATGAATTCTCCTTACAGCTGGTGAAATAGTTGGATAATGCTTCCAGACAGGGCTTGTGCTACCACTAGAAAGTGGAGCTGTGCTCAGCCTGCTCTAACTTAAATACTGCGGCCCAGTAAAATGGCAGTAAATGGCCATTCATTTAATCTGTGATTGTGTTTATACCACCAGGGGGCTGCGCAGTGAAGATGTAGTGTGAGTTTTTTCAGCCAAGTCATACTCCCAAAATGCCTGGAAAAGAGGAATGCTGAATTTCCAGTTGGGAGAAGCTTTCAGAAGTGACATTTCAGTCATGGGTGGGTGATACCAAATGAGGTGGGGCCAAAATTGCCAGCATACTTTAGAATGAAGCCCTCGCTGCCACTCACTGAGCCTTGGGAGTCGTAGTTCGCCCTTTAAGACAGGGGAAAATGCGCAGAAGTGAAGGAATCATGTAATGGTTGGTGGCTTGTGAAAAGAACTTGCTTGGGGCCTGGGAGAAGGAGGATGACCACCTAAGGAAATCCTGAGGGCCCTACGGGAACCCAAGCTGAGGTCTTGCACCTGAGATTCTGTACTGCTGCTCCAAAAGTAAAGGAAAGGTGTCATTGTACGTCATGATATGTGAGGGTGTGCAGGTGGCAGGGTCAGCATCAAGCAAAGGCCACTCACAAGAGCCCCTGGATTTGCTATTTTTTGCTTGCTCTGTCCCAGACAAAGGTGGTGGCAGGGAGAAGGAGCAAATAGGGCCTGGAGTATGGTCTGAAGGCACCGAGGGCATCCACCATGTTGAAGCTAAGTAGGTGTGGGGGTGGCCTGAGCTTGGAGGGGAGACCTCCTAGGAATCTCATGTGGTCACCTTGACACAGTGGGAAGAAGCTGGGATATCAATAAATCAGTTGATTGATCAATCAGTTGATTGATCAAGCAGATAAGCTCTCTGCTTATCAAGTGATCAAGTGGTAGGAATGGAGAGAGAGAGGATAAAGAGCAAGAACAGCTGGTGACCGTGTCTTTCTGAGTGAGGAGGGGGACATGGAAGGGCCCTCAGAAGATGGGAGCTGGCCCTAGAAGGGAGTCTCTTCTTAACTCCACAGTGATGCATTTCACGTTCCTGACTCTTCTTCCAACAAGGTGGAGATAAAAGGAGTTGCTGATGGACTCAGGTGCTAGTTGGCTTATGTTTCCCTTTCTAACTTTCACTTGCAATGTGGCATTTATGCATATATTCCATTAGATATCTAAAGTACAAATTTTAAGATTCCTTTGGTTTTTTCAGTTCAAAGAGCAGTTGCAACAAGTACAGAAAGAGGGTAGTCATGGAGGGGAATCCAGAATTCTGGAGCTACAACATCATAGGGTCTGTTTCTTGCAGAAACCTGCTTGGCCTCTGAAAGCTAGAACACAAAGCTTGATTGTAGGTATCAAAACATCTTGGCTTTTCCTTTCCTAGTATTCTGGTATAGGAATCAATACATTTTGGGCCTTATTTGCCTCCAGAAGATGCTCAGAGTTGGACTTTGGCAAATTTCTGGAAAAGAGATGTCCTGGCATTGGGAGCAGCCTATTGAAATGTCCGTGTACACTTGATGAATGGAAGGCACTCTCAAACAGCTGCCCTCTGCAGAAATCCTGGCATGCATTGAAAGAGACAGGAGACTTCTGGGCTCATTGGAGAATTGTGCATGAATATGCCCCTTTCCAGCAGCTTTAAGTTTTGAATCTGAAGCACTGAAATGGACGTTTCTGAAGCAGGCTTGGCATTTTGATGTACCTTCTGGGCAGTGTCCAATGGAGTCATTTCACAAACTCAAATATTTCTAGTAGCTCTTTGCTAAAGTGTTCCATTGCTCAAGCAGCAATGTCGGCATGCCTGCCCAAATGTAACTTTAATTGGATTCTCCTCTTGTGCATGGTTCTGAATCCAGTTTCCACCAGTGCAATAGTTTGCACTAGTGGAACAACACTTCTGGTATTCCACTAGTGCAAAATCAGCAGGCCAATTCTGTATCGATTTCGTTACTTCGCTTTTTACTGGAATGTTGAGCATGCCCTTCCTACATAACTCTTGGCAGCCTCTGCACCTTGCAGAGTGAGATTTCATATTGTCTGAGCCAAGCTGGTGGGTGAGTTAATTGTGCATTATTACTTTTGTTGCTGAATACAAAGTGAATTTGCTGGAGAATGGAACTGAACCCTTGGATAAGAGGTAGACCCTCAGAAATGGGGATGAAGGGATAGAACTGGAAACTCACTGGGGGAGAATGATAGAGATGGGCTACTGGATAAAAAATGGCTAAGGATGGAGGAAGAAATTTGTTCCATTCATATTTAGATGTGAATTTGCTTAGTTGCTCAATGTTGAACCAAATTTAGTTATTCTTTGTAATTTGCACTTCTCCAAATTTTGCAACAGCAACAAGTTGCACATAAAATATGTATATTAGGAGACATAACATTCCAGGCTTCATTATATTATAAAAATTACTTGCAGAATCTGTACTTTAGGCAAAATTGCATACAAAAATGCAGTTATTAGGAGCCACCTGCCTAAAAATGGGTGTGAATTTTCATGCTCAATTAAAAATAAACCCAATTTAAGATTAGAAAAGGCAAGTAAGAGAAAGTATAATTGACAGACTTCTGTGTCCCTAGGTAAAAGGAAAAACCTGATCTGCCACATGACCTAATCTGGACACGATCCTCTTTACCCAAGCCTGCTCCAGTTTCTCACAGCCCAACATGTGCCCTGCAGAAACGGGGCCTCCCTGATCACAGATACTGAACTGCCAGTGTAATTGCAACTGGATGGATCTTTGGCGACATCATGAGGAAGGGCAACACGAGCTGAATTAGTGCTGCATAGCTGTGTGGTCTCTTGGTCAGAGGAGAAGACGGTCCAAATGTCCACATGATACAATCAGAGGCAACTGATGGGAAGAAAAGAAAGGCACTTACTTCTCTGTGAGCGAGCACAGCAGAAGGCCACAATGGTGGCCATCAGGACCAAGAATGCCACACCGGCTCCCACTGCCACACCTATGATGACTGCCATTGGCACTGACTCTGGAAAAAACAAGAGAGCAGGTGACGTGGAGACCCGCCGTGGATGCTGCGAACCTCTGCCCCCTTTCCACTGCTTCCTCTCTGCCTCCACAACCCTGGCTGGCTATCGGCAGACCCTTCTACTGCCAGGCACTGAGATGAGTTTCTAAGACATGGCTGACACATAACGGACTTGAAGGACTTTAATGGGGAAATGTCCACTCGGTGGGGAGGGGAATGGGGAAGTGTGACATGTCACAGAACCCCTGGGTCTCTTGTGTTCAGCAGGGGGGAGGCAAGCGCTGCTGGCAGAGGGTTTGCATGATTCAGGTCTTCAGGAGATAGACGGGGGTTGAAACAGGACAGCATGTGCTCTAAGGATGAGCTTCATGGAGTGAAAGCCAGCGTGGGGTAGTGGTTAGAGTGTTGGACTGGGACTCAGGAGGTACAGGTTCTAATGCCCACCTGATATATGGACCAGTTGATAACTTTCTGCCTAACCTACCATACAGGGTTGTTGTGAGAATGGAATGAGCAAGCTCATGTAAGCCAGCAAGGGTTCCTCACAAGAAGAAAAAGAAAAATGGGGCCAGGATTTAAATAAATCCTAAGGAAAGCAGTTCCTAACCCTTATGAGATATCTGTGAAAATTTTCTGTGAAGGCTTAGCAGATGAAGGGAGATGGAAGGCCTCATGCATGGCCAATGACAGCACAAACACACATGCACGCACATACAATTTAGAAGACTTGATATGCATTGGATGTGGAGGAGGAGGAGGAGGAGAGAGAATGTCTCTAGCAAGACTGGTAAAGAGGTCAATCAGCAGAATAATAATAAAATGCAAGGCCCCAGATTATTTAGGTGTGCCAGGAGGGGTGGGCAGCTGCCCTCTTTTAGAGGGGAGGGTCTTGTTCTTGAAGGCCCTCTAAACCATCCTCTGTCTGAAGCTGCCCCCCTTCTGAAGGGCTTTCCTGCCTCACTCCATTTTAAAGAACCCAAGAACTGCTGTCCATCATCAACGTAGGACCTGGGCAGCAGACAAAACAGCCTCCTGGCCATGATCTTTCTGCACTAGGGCGAGATTATTTAGCTGCATTTAAGTTAAAACAATGGTATCGAAATAACTGCATGCAAATCTCAGTTCTGTTTTATTCCCCCTTTCAGTGATCCCTGCCTGCCTGCCTGCCTCCAATTCGCAACTGGTCTCCCTACACTTGCCAGGTGTAACACTGTTGGCAATGCCTGGCCGGCACATAAAGAGCAGCCTCACTTAGAAGTGTCCTTCACCAGCCACACGTGTGCTGACCCTCACCTGACCATTGTCTGGATCTAGGGGTGCTGGTGTGTGCAGACCCCAGTCGGCAGAACCCTGCTGCCTCAGGGCTGATTCAGGGAGGTGCTGTGGTACGGTGAGGGCTGGAGCTCAGGGCCAAGGCATGGTCCCCCCACTTCGGGGTCCCTGAGCAAGTGGCGGATGATGGGGCAGCAGCAAGCAGGCCGAGGTCTAGCACCTGTGCTCCAAGAGCATGTTGCGGGCACTGCGTCTAATGCGGGTCGCCTTAGGATCCCCCAACACGCTTTATGAGAACCAGAACCAAAACATGCGGTACTTTGCAAGGAGGGGAGCACCATCAATGCGCATGGTCACAGTGCTCATTTTCTTCTTCTTTACTGTGAATAAAATACGACCTCGCTCTAAGAAGCAGAGTGTTGCCTCTTCCCAAGTAAACCTATTTATCATCAGGACAGCAAAGTGAACTTCATTTTATTCCTCTGTTCCTGATGGTGCCATGATTGCAATGGATTCAAAGCACAAAACTTCCCCATGCTCAAATATTGCCTTTTGACTGAGGTTGGCGGCTTCTTTGCTCTGATAGATTTAGGAATGTAGGAGCAGTGATAAAGCATGACATAGCAGAGGGGCAGGAAACATTTGACTGCTTCCCAAGCAAAATAATGCACATGGGTGCAATCCCAGGCTGGTTCAGACAGAAAAAAGATGCTGGCTGTGCAATGCAGAGAATTATAGGACCCTTTCTGCCTGCACATGCATAGGACACACCCACAGAGGTTAAAAGATCACCCCCCCCCATTAAGACCCACTGAAATTCTCTAGCTGCACAGGTGGAGCAGGTGTGGAGGTCTGACAATGCTTATCATAGCATAAAAAGTTTAAATGCCACTCCCTGTTTTCTAGCGGATACATGGTTCGAGGAGACATCAACTGGTATACAAGAGTCCAGTTTAATCTCCTTCAGGAGCAAAAGAACACTCTACCATCAGTCCATCTCTTGACCCAGTTCACATAACACCCTCGGCTCACCCTGGGTTATTTAACCCAGGATGAGCTGTGGCATATGCAAAGCACTGTTTTGAATATGCAACAACCAATGGGACTGTTGTCCAAATCTGGCTGTCAGGAACTATTGGGAATTAACCCTTCTATAACCTCCAAAGGGTGGATTTCGAGGAGTATGTACCTCCTCACAGTCAAGGGCTGCATATTCAAAATGCTCCTTGGCACATATGCCACCTCACCGCGGGTTGAATGACTGGTAATGAGCCTTGTGTGCTATGAGAAGCAGGTCTTTGTCTGCCATGAAGGTTGGTGTTTCCTGTGCCAGTGGGGCCCATTGCAGCTTTCATTCTGTGTAGGATAGAGTGCTTACAGAGCTTAACTCAATCCCCAAAGTATATTCACGACCACCGAGCACCATGGCAACTATAAAGCTCAGAGTAAAGCCGCAGTGAAGGAGGAGTCCCACTGACATAGGAGTCTTTCCCAGTCTGACCTGAACATGCTGGGAATTGAAACAGAGGTCTTTGGCATGCTAAAATGTGCTTTAGGACGGAGCTACAACCAGCCTTGAGTTAGCGAGGGCCAGGAAACTGTGCTGATTTTAAAAACAATCTTGCTTGACATTAGAACTACAGCAATGGTTTGATTTCTGTTTTTATAACTGTTTTTTATGGCTTATGATTGAGGCATATAAACGTAAATTGACCTGAACTTTAGGTTAGGGACATGCCGTCTAAACTGTGAAAATGGGCGTAGAAATGTAGAAAAGTGAAACAACCCAGCATCCACCATCACTCAGTGTCCTGGCTTATTTATTTTATAACTCCTCTCACCCACTGGTTAGGCCTGACAAAATCACTAGCTCTAAGCTTTGTTTTGGGACAAGGATATTCAAAGGCATGTCTCTAGAAACCCAGGAATGTTGGAACGTGCCTTCGATGAATCACTCAGCATTGCCTACTCTGACTGACCTCAGAGTTTTAGTCTGGAGTCTTACCCAGCCCCAGCAGCGAATGCTAAGGATCAAACCTGAGAACGTGTGTGCATTCCAGGGTTTCTTCAAGGATCAGGTCCACAGTGAAGGACAAAGGAAGCCACCTTATGCTGCTCAGTCCACTGGCCTGTCCAGCTTCACCGGAGCACTTAGTGGACCTTGGGGCCCTTCTTGCCCAAAGCATGTGCTCTCCTCTGACCATGCTCCTGGATGCTCCATACAGTCCTGGCCATCCACTGCATCCAATATCCACATCTCCGCTATGTGTCCCACCACATGCAGAAGCACGACTGGCTGGAAAGTGAGCCTAGCCCTTTCCTTGTGTCACTGGGTTGAAGAAATTGCCCTGCAGAGCGTTTCCATGTGCTCTCTCTCTCTTTTAAGTTTCACACAACTGGCCCAAGAATTTAATGTGGAGTATGGTTGTGTCTCCCTGCTATTTTGGTAGGGGTTTTTTTGTCTCACTAACTGAGCTGTTTTTTATGGTAACACTAACTACTGCAATTTAAAACGATTGTATTTTTAAGCTAATTAAACAATACTGTGTTTTTGTAAGCAACTTTCAGCTTACGTGTGTGTAGGATAATGAAGCATAAGCAACACCACAAGGCAGGTTTTTTGCAGAGGGGAGGAGTTCAAATGGGGTGATCTACTGTAGATGAAGTACACTGATTTTTGTACTGCATGGAAACAATTCTGAGGGCAGAACTGGAATCTAACTCGAGTCAAACGCATCCAACAGAATTCAGCTCATGACTGAAATAACAAGAGGGAGGTATGCTGAGCTTAGGGCACATCCTGTGCAAGATGCATCACCATTACCATTACATTGCATTTATATCCCACCCCTTTTCTTCTTCCTCTTCTGCTTATACCAGCAACCCCATGAAGTGGGTTAGGCCGAGAATGAAGGGCTGGCCCACTGTGCCCTGTCAGATCCCTGGCCAACTGCAGTCTGGAACTCAGACCTCCCAGGTTCTCGGGCCAAACCCCAACCACCATGCCCGTGGTGACACCTGTTGGGTGAGGCTGGAGGTGGCTCAGTTTCAAAAGTGAGCTTTGGCTCAGATAGTTGGCAAATACAATCTTTTTTTTTTTCCTAAGCAGTCCTCTGGGTGGGAAGGAAGATGGAGGTAGGGCAGGTGAGAATGAGAGAGAGAGAGAGGGAGAGAGAGAGAGAGAGAAAGCAAGTGCTGTTAAAAAGAGAACAAGAAGGAATGATATCAGAAGAGAGTGATGGAAAGAAAGAGTGTGACAGAATCTGAGAGAAAAGGTGTGACAAAGAGAGAGGGGAAGAGATGGTGGAAAGGGAAAGGGAAAGAGAAGAGATGAGGGTAACAGCTACGGGTGTGCGTGTGCCTGGTTTTGGCTTTGGCCCTGTCTATTGCTGACTTGCAACTCCTCTCTGGTTACTTGGGAGGGCAGGTGGTCCTTGGCAGAAAAAAATGCACTCCAACCCCAAGCTATAGCATGCTATGTGCATTAAAAACACAGACATGTCATGAGTTTCATGCTAACCGATTTATGTGAGCAATGAATGAATTCAGTTTCTACAGCTTCCCCTTTCTCTGCTAATAAAACTGATTTGCTTTTTTTTATCGTTTGGAATAAAACTTTCCATCAAATCATCACTGTGAGGTGAAGAATATCTATATCTATCTACAACCATGTGCGTACATGCGCATGTGTACACACACACAAACACACACACACACACACAGAGAGA